TTTTAGCAGACCCCACGGCATATATATGCATACGTTACATGTACATATACATAGGCCTATATTTTTAAAACTGTTTTTATTTATTATTTTTATTCAGAGCAAAGAAACATTTCATCGTGTGAGTGGCGAACTACATGAGTAATAAAATGCATAATTGCCCATGCATGTTACTGATCTGACACTTGAAGTAAGGAGAAGCCATTGTACATGTATTGACTGGTGTGATCATTTAAGAGGACTTTGAATTCATGTCAAGAGAAATAAGATAAAATAGAGAAGTAGGTTTACAGCTATAGCAAAAAGAAAGAGAGAGAGAGAGAGAGAGAGAGAGAGAGAGAGAGAGAGAGAGAGAGAGAGAGAGAGAGAGTTTACCAATAAATAATATCAAATGTGAAAAAGTCATCCCGTTTGCTGGCAATAGCACTTTTATCCACTACCTTCGTACTTACTAACATTGATCCCTTTCTGTCAGTGTAGGCCTATTTGTTTTTCTCTCTCTCTCTTTCCATTCCCAAGTCTCACCTTATTCCTTTTCTTTCAGGCTCACTTTTCCTTCACTACTACCAGCACACCACCTACCCCCTCCTCCCCAATTCCTTTTGCCCCTTAATACTAAAGTACAAAGTCTACATCCATCAAAGCATCTGAAAATTCTATTGGATTGTATAAATTATACAAATATAACGCTTTGTGGGCTGATTCTAATAAAATCTGTTACATGTGTAAGACTATAAAATTAGGCCTACAGTTAAATGAAATTTGCCATAAAAAGGTAATAAAAAGTAAAAGTGCTTATAATCAACATCTAAATTATAGCTCCCCACAAAAGAAAACCCCAATACAACTATAAGATTATATTCATCCTTATAAATGTCAAATGCATTCAAAGGTTAAAAAGAATTGGTTTAACTTCAAAGCTGGCGACTAAAATAGTCTTTTAAATCAACAGCAAAACATGTATTTTTTCAATAGTTTTTTTTAAAAATAGGATCAACTTTTTCTTCAAACAACCATTCTGAGGATTAAAAAGAGAAAAACAGAATAAACAGTGATTTTTATATCATATCAACACCTACCAGACCACTGAAAATGGCAACACATGAAGCAGCAACAAAGTAGACAGCAAAGAGCAGATCAACAGGTCTTTTCCACAGAGGTTTAAACTGTAAAAATTAGAGAACAATATATATCAAGTAAAAAATTGAAAACAGAACATCATACTATACAATTCATTAATTCATTAATAACTTGAACTAATCTCTCTCTCTCTCTCTCTCTCTCTCTCTCTCTCTCTCTCTCTCTCTCTCTCCCTCCCCCCTCTCTCTCTCTCTCTCTCCCTCTCTCTCTCTCTCTCTCTCTCTCTCTCTCTCTCTCTCTCAAAAGAAAAATTAGCTCCACATATTCTCAAAAGCAAATATATCTAACACCAACAGGAAACAAAAATTAAAAACAAAATGAAACAACAGTGAAACATCCACAGTAAACGCATGCACAAAGCATCTTCCTACTTGCCTCAAAACTATTGAAAGGCATACAAAGCGTATGCTCCATTCTATCATGGAAGAGCATTTCAAAACTTACACAGTTCTGAATGTTGTTTTGTTTAGATCAGACTCAGAGAAGAAATGACCTTATGCAGTTGCGAGCGCCCTAAAACCTCTACTAAAACTAAAGAAGAAATGACAACAACAATACATACTCCTCACAATTATTCTCATAAAAAGGGTCTTAATTCATAGGGGATAACATCTTTATCAAAGTTAATTATCTTTCTTATTTTCACCAGAAGTTGGAAATATATTTTTTAATTTTTAAAGAAGTGGGTAAATTATTGTTTGCATCCTTCTCATATAATGTTTCTCTCATGTAAGTGAAACTATTGTAAAATGATCAAAGGACCTTTTTTTTTTCCAAGAGAAGGCCAAGAAAGCATTAAGACCATTGATCCAGTCATCATCATCATGGCCTTTCTCACCCTGGTTCACTTTCCACCTTTCCCTATCATGGATCCTCAATCCAACAGACTCTGATAGGCTGTTTAAAACTGAGGTCTTTGTTTGCATCTGTTCCTAGGAGTGCGATAGAAGTGCCAAGTCATCTGCAAAGTCCAGATTATTCAACTGATCCAGTAACATTATACATATAAGACTTGGCAGAAGTCATTAGTCTATACTAAATTTATTAACAAACTTGAAAAATCTTAAGGAATTCTAGAGTGTTTTTTTAATCATGATTATCCTTTTTTTTAATTACTAAAAAACAAAAATAATCAAAAATCAAATCTTTTCTACAGCTTACTAAAAGTCTACATCTACCTTATTTCTGTTAGGAAACTACAAAGGGTAGATAGAGATCATGTTCAATCTTACAGTAAAAGAAGAAAAACATTTTACCTTTAAAAATGTACGGGCTTGGGGTGGGTGTTCATGCAGAAGTTTAAAAGCAGCATAAACCGGGCAGAGAAGGTAAGGTGTATTCAGTAGAATCGAAAGCTTGAAAGGGTGTTTGCCTGCAATAAAAGTTTATAAAAAGAGTGCAATATTATGCTGGTTTTCTTAATTTTTTGTAAAGGACTGTTAATATTCTCCTTGCCCTTTGTCAGAATTAAGATCATTTAGGGAGTGGGCTGCTTCAACCATACCAGCCAGGGCCAATCTGGGCTGAGCAAGATGTGTTATCCTAGCAGAAAGATGGGCATACTCATTGCAATAGAACTTTTCATGAGGGAATTGAATTTGTGTCTTCTCTGTGCAGTGGCAAAGAGCCTAATCACTACTAAACAGATGCTAGCGTTAAGCTTTGAAAAATTAATTTTAAACTCAGACATGAATAGACATCGACAAAAGCTCATTTTCAATGTCAATATAACAATATATTGTCATGACAGAGATTTGAAAGTACTTACATCACAGCTGGGGAAATAATGCATAGCTGAAGACTGAATATACAAATTCAGATGATTACAAAAACTAGAGACTGCGAAGTACAACTTACACATAATAAAACTAGATAGCGTTATTCATTCAAATCGTATTTTCGATGGGATACTACTAATAAGCAGGCAGTACACTAGTATCATAAGAATGGTGGTGGTACTATACTAGACTCATAATAATAATGAAAAAAATAAATTCAACTGAACAAACATAAAACATCATCCTACAAAAAACCATACATGTCAAACTGTCCAAATGCCCAAATAGCACTACAATCCACATGATACTGGCAACTCTATACACAGTGAAATAAGTTATACTTTGAAATTCTGTTCACTAATCTTTTGAGCTGCTTATTAAATTGAATCCTGGGGTGCTCAGCCATCAACACCACCATAGAATAGATGCAGGACAAATAATAGCAAAGCCAACATTTCATATATCCAGCAACCAATGGGTTCAAATGAGATTTAATAATATTTACAGTCCTTTTACAGGGCATTTTGCATAGCTGTCAACTTTGTTAAAGTCAACAAAAAAACCAGACCCCCCCCCCATGCAGCTGGTCAATATGGCAGGCATTGGCCAAGTAACCTCCTCCAAATCCTTCACATAAACTTTCCTGCATTCAATGAATTCAAGCTATTCAAAGTAGACCTGCAGAAAAAGGTATCTTCAATTGACTTTAAATTGGATTTCCCTCTCATCATTGTTCACAAAGAAAGCTGTCTAGAGAGAGTTCATAATTTTCCTTCAGTATCGACAAACTTGTAAAGAGCAACACCTGAGAACACAAAATAGGTATTTTCCAATATATGAAAATAGACTTACTTCAGACTTCCGTACTCAGACTCTCAAATGTCCAAGCAAGCTTTTTACATGTTGGTTGGCAGGTAAGACTATGCCTTTGATTCAGTTAAAAAATAAAAGAACATGACCAAAAAAAAAACTACCCCCCATTTGATTCTTTGATTCTTACATTTATGGGAGATAAAACATCTTTTAAAAAAAAGCACAAGTACAGTATGGTCAACACCCATGTGGTTCTCGGGGCCCTGTCCAAGAGACAGGGGAGCAAAGAATAGGACCACTGTATCCGTACCGCGCATGTCATAGAAGGCGACTAAGGTTGGTTGGGCAAAGGGTTAGCTGCCCTTTCCCATAAAACAAAAAGCAGCTACAAAAACATCAACAGCAAAAACAACACGACCGCCAGTTCTGGAAGATGGAGGACCTTCATCACCGAGGAGAGGAGAGGATATGGAGTGTAGAATGACGCAGGGTGGCGAAAGCCGGAAGGAAGCCACCAAGCCGAGAAACCTCCTGTCGACCAGAAAAACCACCAGACTTGGCACCTGGAATGTTCGTACAATGTACGAGGCAGGGAAGGCACTGCAGGTTGCAAGAGAGATGGAGCGCTACCAACTGGACATATTGGGTCTCTGTGAGACGAGATGGACAAATGCAGGGGAGTGCCAACTTGCTTCAAGGGAAACAGTTCTCTACTCTGGACATCTGGAGGAAAACTCGTCGCATACAGAAGGAGTAGGTATTCTGTTATCAACACACGCCAAGCGGGCTTTGATAGGATGGAAAGCAGAGGGCCCGCGACTAATATCAGCTGAATTCCGTTCACAGAAGAAAGACATCAACCTTCATGTTATCCAGGGATATGCCCCAACCAATGATAAGGACCAGGAAGAAGGGAAGACCAAAGATGACATGGAGGCGAGCGGTAAAAGCGGAAATTGAAAAAGCGGGGACATCATGGAAACAGATAGAAAAGGATGCTCAGGACAGGCTTCGCTGGAGTAATGTTGTTGATGGCCTGTGCTCCACTGGGAGTTAAAAAGGGCAAGAGAGAGAGACAGTATGGTCAAACACTGACAATACTCTAACTCCACGATACTGACAAACACATTATTTTGTCTTCATGCAAAAATTACATATCTTCTTCACATACACTACCACCAGTTCAATTTAAAAGCAGTAGGAGAAAACTTTTGGTGGAGAAACAAATTTCTTTTGATTTACCTGCAACACCACCGGGTAAAAGTACAACCATGCTGTTGAGAATCGATCCAACCCACACCAAGGCAAGTTCTCTGTGACTTTTCCTGAAAAGATTGGTTTAAATATGAGTACAGCAAGCATTTTACCAATCAAGCTTCAAATAATGAGGCAAACTTGATCCTATCACTATGATATCAAACTTTAGAGTATGAGTTTTGTGGTCATAATCAGGGTCTCATAAAAAATAGCTTCCGGTGCTTCTAAAACATCAATGATTCAAACTACAACAATGGGAGAAAGATTACGGTAGGCCTACATTTTTTAACTAAAAAAACAGAATAATTCACCAAAATATTTCAGTACAAGAACTACTTGAAAATAAAGACAAAATACATCATTTGCGCTGAGATTTAAAATAGTGATGATGATAGACTATAATTAATTTTCTACACTGACATCAACAATCATTGCGTAGACTCCTTTCCTTCTTTTCAGACCAATTCCAATTCTAAGTTGTAGATATGTATATAAATCAGCATCCCTCAAATCTACCGCAACTATAATTTACTATAAGACGCCTTGTGAGAGGGATGATTGCAAATATTGTAACAACTCATAATCCACAGGAGAAAAAGGAAGGGTACTTACTTGTAAGTGTAAAAAGCTATGATTGCTATGCACAGGCCAAACTGAAAGGTTCCATCCCAGTAGTTGATTGCAGTACCATGTGCAGTCATGAGATATGGTTCCCCCTCAGCAAAATAAAAGCCGATGAAGTTGGAGATATATCCATCCAGTTCTAGCCCAATTCCAAGGTCAATCATACAGGTCCATGAAAACAGACTCCACACTATAGAAGAGGACAAAAAGAAATAGGCGTACAATCAAGTTTTTATGGACATATAATCTGTGGACTCTGCACTTTAGTATCTCATCTGTACCGTGTAAGTGACACAACTAATATCAAACTACTAAAGGAAGAGTGCATTTCTGCATGCGCATGGATTGCAAGTCAGTATTATAAAGGTTTGAGCTCTGCCAGTTCGAAACTTACTTGACCTACTACCCACCACATCCAGGGTCTCCACACCTGGTGGGGCGACATTAAGGCCGCCAGGACATATCATAATGTGGGAAAGACACTTTTCACTGATTTTATAAGAATGAGGGAGGAGAGCAGGCCTTTGATTTCCCAACTTTCTCCCGTATTTTTGTTTTCATTCATTTTCAGGGAGTTTTCTCAACTAGGAAATCGAAATTTTTAATTCCTGGCTTTATCCCGTTTTCCATGTCAAGTAGGAACCCTGGGACAAGCGACCCTTGATATCCTATCTCTGTGTTATATCAGGCTGGCCCTCTGGACTAGTGTTGGGCGGTACTGACGAAAACCAGTGTCGACACTTTCTTGGTACTAGGTGCCAAGAACTGCCAGTACCGGCACCGGCACGTGGGAGTGACATCAGGGGGTGACGTCACAGTCCGTGCGTCTCGCGTCTCACACCACAATCAGCGCCGCCGGCACACACACACGTCAGAATTGGAGGTGCGAACTGTGGTGCAAAATACCTTTGAAGTTTGCCGCCGCGTGGGATAAGACTCTGCATGCAAAATTTTATCGCCACTACAAATGGATTTCATTTTCAGAATCAGCATATCAAAATATGCAAAGCGGCTAACGAGGAACCTCATTTGATGCCATATATTTAAATTTAAATTAAAGCAAACTTCGTTTTTCATTGTCAATTTTGATTCTGAAGTCAGGCATCAAGGTCACCAGCTGCGTTGTAGTGTGCATCTGACGTCACAGCCGCTAGGCCAAGGCCTAGGCCTACACACAGCACACTTCCCGTGGCCCGGTTAGAAAACCGTTGGTGTCAGCTTATAACATTTTTACTCTCTGAGCGTCTAGGTGTCGGCTCCAGAGCCAGTACTAGTACTAACCGTTTGCGGCGGCTCTTTCCGAGAGCCGGTACTGAAGGCCTGGTGCCGGTACTGACACCTCCTTTGGTAGAACTGAGAGTTCCGGTCATGGGTACCTGTACCTGCCCATCCCTAATCTAGAACCCCCTTCTCCCTCCCTTAAATTCCCTGGTCCAAGGAGGAAAAAATGTCAAAGACTTTATTTCTGACTCCCTTAGGATTCTGTCTTTGGCTGGTCGGACTATTCTGTTGAAGCAGTTGGACATGATAATAATATGATATGCAATAATTTCTTTTCATTTTACGATAGACCACAGGGGTGGTTGATGGCATCTTTCCGACAGTCCTTACCAATCGTCACTTTTTTTGCTACCAGACTGTTACTGCCGATAAAATCGACACTTTTGTTTTTGAAGTGACGAGTTGGGCAATCGGTTTATGTCACGATATAGCTGCTTTGCACCCTCAATATGGCTAGCAAACCGAACCTATCGACACTATCGTGCCATAATCGGCACTGGCCTTTAGAACCGCCGCCAGCAGCGACTCTGCAAATCATGTGGAAATGGCATCGTCGGGTCCTCGGAAGTTTCCGAGATTTCCGGCAGATTTTAGGGGAGAAATATATTTTTATAATATATATATATTCGAAATCACTATTTTTTTCAGCATATTATATTATTTATATATATATAGCTTTTTGAAAGAGCGTTCCAAATATATATAGATCTAGTTTTCTGGTCTTTGTACCAATCATTTGTACTCATTTCTTAATATCTAAAGGAGCACCCTTGTTCCTCTAATATTAAGACTTTCCCTTGACAGTGACAAGTAGGCTACAAGTTTACCACTGACAGTCGGGTAAGCTCTTCTATTTTTATAAGTTCATATTCTACTCAATCACCTTCTAAAAAGAATGCAGAGTAATGCTTCTGCAGTGTAATGAGAGACCTGCTTTCAAAACTATTTCTAGATCTATAAGGCTGTCTATTTGTGTCTAAACTTAGCATAGAACACGGACAAACAAATTACACACTTCTACTTCGGAACTTACCCATGAGCAACGGATCTATTCGCTTGAAGTGTCTTGAGAAGAGCACGTAAGGACCAACAGTGGCAAGGGTTAAGCAAATTACACCAGCTACAAAAACAGAGAGTTGACTTCCCATTAGTTTGTATTTGGACAACGTAAATGACACCGGCCACGAAGTTTGTGAAAGAAGGAATACTGCGAGGGGAACCAGATACTTCCTCTCCATGTTGAAAGTTGGTTTTTGCACTGCTGTCACGTTGATGACTTGTTCTTTTGAGACTACAAATTATGATTCAACTGTTTCTCCGATTGGACACTGTGCACTCCCACTTTGAGATTGCACCGACCATAAATAGGTCCAAAGCAGGCTGCTGAAAGGATATCACATGGACTTTGCTTTTTCGCTTTGAGCGTGGCGTCCTTGGTTTCCTTCCGTGATATTAATCGAATCATCGAATAGTCGTACTTATACTATTTAACGTATTCGAGTACAATAAAGAGAAAAATAATGAATGGTTCATTCACAAGGGAGGTAGTTTAGTTTAGGTCTTGCCCTTGGAGAAGTTGGCCTTTTAAAAATACGGTTATTTCCCTTTTAAGGATTGAGGTGGTCATGGGAACCTTAAGGGGGGGGGGGGGGGCTACACCTAGAGGCTATCTCGCTTATTACTGGACCGAATTTTACAAAATATTTTACACATATAACAAGCATAGTAAGGAGTCTTAAAATCCGCAATCAAATTTGAGAATTAAAAGTTTCGTTTCCATAGATACGCCGCCATATTGGATTTTATTGACATGTCTTACGTAATGAATACCGCACTTTTCGCTCATGAAAATTGATTGTTTTTTGCATGTGTGTTCACAAACATTAAATCTAAAAATTTGTCTGTTGTTGTTTTTTTTCCTAATCGAATTAGAAAATTTTTAATGAATTTTTTCCTGAGGTAGCATTTAAGTTTGTGAAAAATCTGTGAAAATCCACACTCCAGACACCACCAACAAAAATTTATTCCATATATCAAACATTCAACTTACACATTTTTAGTATTACCTCTTCTCTTCATTCTGTGACAATTTCATGAAGATTGGATGAAAAATGGTGGAGTTATTCAAAAAAGTATAGAGAAAAGTCGCATTTTGAGAAAATGGCCGATAAAGAGAAATAAAATACTGACTTTATGAGGAAATGGCGGTTACAAACATGCCTGGTATGAGACAAAATACGGTTTTTGGGAGTTCTTATGCCATGAAATAGTTGTAGGAGAGGCTGAGGAAGCTAAATGCCTACAACTCAAATTCAATGATTTTGAGCCGAATTTTGATTTTGGGGGTGTATCCCCCCCCCCCCCCCCTTAAGAAACTTGACCATATAACATTTCAATTTAAAAACCAGCAGAGTTGGCCTACGGTCAGGCGCGGTTCGTCCATAGAGCACGGTCGTGCAGTGCCGCCCAAAATTGTTTAATGTTCTATTATGAAAAGCACTCACAAACATGAAATAAAAGAAGACAGAAACAAAAACTAGTAAAATATAGTATCAAAACAAGGTCCTCGCTGGCGCTGTAACTCAATAACTGTCATTTTTTGTGTCAAAAGCGCCATAAAACATCTACTGTGCTGTGCCAAAGTCCACGCGCATTAATCTAACGTAATAAGATATATTCAACAGTGGCAATCTTACCTATAAATCGCTCTGTGGGATAACCCAAGCGATACGACACTCGTCGCGAGTTTTGCGGTACATTAATATTAATAAGACGGCACATCTCAAATGTGTGTCCACGAAACATAGTCCACAGTACGCAGTCTAAAAATAAACGAGATAGCCACAACCAAGACGGAATAAGACTCCGTCTTGGGCCACACTATTCTACGCCAAAATTATGTGATCCCCGGAGCAACCCAGCGGAGTGCTCAGGTGCATTGTGATTGGTTCATTGGCTTTCCACTATTTTAAGCGACTCTGTGACCGTGAACCTGAGGGAGGTGAACGTGACATACTTAACTCACTTCAGACGGGTCACACAACAGTTGCGTGACCCCCGCCATGACGCTCGCGTCGGGTCTCACAAGCCCTGCGTGACCAACTTTGGAATTTTTTTTTCGCTCTACAAATCACGCACGGATCGCGAGACCCGCCTCGTACCCTTGTTTGGCCAAGCCTGAGCTACTTAGATTTCGTTTCGTATCTCTGGGGCCGGTAGTTTTTAAGTTATTGAAGGTGAAGGACAGTGACCCCAACTGTGGTTGAACAGACCGGAACTCGCGCTTTGTTTTTTTCTATACAGCTCATAGTAATCCGACAGTCGCGTCGTAGTAACGGTCGAAGAAGTCGCATGAACAAGAATCACATAATTTCGCCGTTTTCTATACTTCTGTACGTTTTACTAGTTCTAGTGTCTCAGAATATGATGTGTCTAATAGTTAGGATCCTGGATATGTACCCGAACACGGCCCGAGTCGTAGTTCTAGGGCTAGATCTAGCACTAGTACCGGTGTTGTTTTTCGCGCAACGAAATCACAACGTCGTGCCGTACATCTGTCTCATGTAATTCAGTGTATGGGTCTGAATCAATGCACAGACCAGCTTTTATATTTTCACCAAACACTTGCACATGTATACAAATCAAACCAGAACACTTTGAACTTTTATTTTTGTTGTTGCAGTGAATTTCATTCTACTTGTCACGTCTCTGGAAATTTTTCGAAATTCAAATTCATGCCAATTTTTTTTAAATCATACAAATTAAAGTATTAGACTTAGACAACTTTAGTTTTTTGTATTAGATTAAGCTTGAATGTTACTTTACTGTGTCAAAAAATGATTACAATAGGGTAATTCTGAGAGTTGTGGTGATTTATTGAAATACCCCCCAAAACGCCAGTCTTCAACGCTTGTGGCTGGTGAAAGGGCCCAGTCGCAAGTGAGTTAAGGTACCGTCCTATAAGTTGTGCCTTCGAATAGTTTTGAAGTGGGGTGGTGAAAGTTATTGCTCGGGTGCTAAGTTCCAATGCAGGATAAAGAAATTGATGTTTAGTTAACAAACAGATTTAGTTCTAGAAATCAAAGCGACCAGTAAAAAGAACGAGAATAAAAGCATAAGGTCCTCCTTCACCAACCCAAGGATCCTACCCTCCTATTTACTATGCCCTTGACTATCTTCAACCTGCTGTTAATTGTGCACGCCCACTTTTTAGCCCCACGAGCCGCCCCAGCTTACCGTAGAAAAGTGAATCTCTCCAAGACGCTCAATGACCTCAGAGGGTGAAAAGGTGAAAAGCACAAAAGTAAAGAGACTTGATCACAAGAAAGAGAGAGGAGAGAGAGAGAGAGAGAGAGAGAGAGAGAGAGAGAGAGAGAGGGGGGGGGGGTACGATATACAGGAAATGCTGGACATTCAAAGATATAAATAACCGTTTGTCAACTATCTATCATGTGACTCCACGCTCCAGGCTCATTTAACAGAGATAAAAGCGTTCTGATTGAGACGGCCCTATCATAATATCAGTCGTTGCAAAAGCTGGGGACATGAGACCGAGGATAAAGTAGGAGAGTAGGACTAAAGATTCTCTACTACACGATCTTTGGTAGGACTGAGTTGGATCCTGGGCAAGAGCTGAGAGATCCGTCTAATTTTAGCCAATGATTAAAAAAAAAAAATCAGTCCACCTTCCCCTCTCGGTTAAGTAGGCGTTTTTCAACAACACAACCTATTTCTTTCTACACTGTAGATATTCAAAGATGTCTCAATCGAAAGGTATGTCCTAAGCGCCCCCCCCCTCTCTCTCTCTCTCTCTCTCTCTCTCTCTCTCTCTCTCTCTCTCTCTCTCTTCTTTAGATTCACCCGGAAAGCAACCATACGTCATTTAAGACAGAAATGTTTTTTTTTTCTTTTTAATTAAAGCCAGCTGAGATCTGTTTAGACTTGTTTGACAGGGTAATCAAAGCGAGACAAAGAACCAGATAGAGATGAGGCCACACACGAAAAGCTTTCCTCGCAAAAGAACTTTAATTTTCCAAGGTGGCATCTCTGAGTTCTGAATGAAAACAAACCCTGAATTTCCCGAGAAAATATCTTATTAGTCAACAGTAATTCTCTTATTGGGTAAGGGAGGGGGGGGGGGGGGGGGGCAAACGCAATTATAACTTTAAAAGTGATGTGGCAATATTATAATAGTCTCAAGATTTTTCAAACAATACATTTTAAAAAATATGTGAAACGCAAAAATAGAGGAAGATAAGGAAGCAGAGATGACAATACAACAAATGTGTATAAATCAATGTGGTTTTAAAACTGGCTGTGTTTATCTAGCCTTTCACCCACAGGAGCCGCTGAGATAATCGTGTCATGATCTGATTTATAAGCTATAAAGCGTTAAAAACTTGAGGGGAAAAAAATAACAAGCACTCACAGTCTAAAAATCAACTAGATAACCGTGATGATTATCGTATTAGGAGATGTTTCCCCTGTCCTTATTTCTGTAGACTCTACTACATGTAGCTTAGTTGATGGATTTGATTTTTCGTTTTTGTTTTTGCTTTTTTGTTCTTCCAGTTCAGGAATGTGATTCAGAAATCAATAGTAAACACTTAGAATGTATTCCAATTGTTCTATTTTTTAAAAAGCTATATCAGGTTTTACAAACAAAATAAAATCAGTAGTCTAACTTGTTGCAAGTCAAAGGCGTCCCAGCCCTCCCCACGTCACCCTATTTCATTTCTATCTGGACGTCTGTCTCTGGAATGTGCACGAGTTTTTAAAATAAATGATAAGTCATGTGTAAAGACTATAACCAACTGCACCTGGTATTTTGAATATGCGAGGCTATTTAAAATAACTTTTCAAGTTTTATTATTTTTTTGATGACCATGCTAGCCCGTTCAACAAAAGCGACGATTAAATACGTGAAGACAATGGCACACCTTGAATCGTGAAATCCAGTTAAATTTTTTACTCCAGCAAAGAAACGTGCGGGGGCTCTCGTGGTCTAGAGGTTACGATGTTCGCCTCTCACTTTCATTCAATAGGTCCTTGGTTCCTTTCACCTCGTTTCCTCTCACCAGACATGTTCTTTCCTCTGCTTTCGTCTCCACTTTCTGCCTCCACCTCCACCTCTACCTCCACCTTCCCCCCTCCCCCTTTGTCGCCTCCTCTGGGCTCCTGACTCTTTTTGAAGTCATTCTACTGCTTCTCCTTGGCTCCTTCTTACTGCTGTCTTTCAGCCACACCCCTGATCTTAGGGTAGGTAAGATTTAACGCCTAGCCTTTTCGGATAAGATCGAAAAATCTCGGAGGTTCCGGGTGCAAATATCGCACGTTAAAGATCCCTTGGTGGTCCAAAATCGATATGAGAAGGCTTCGGCCGCCACCCGGGCAAAATTCAAAATTGATTCCTACCAAAACCTAAATAAGTGTCCCGTGCGCTA